AAGCGGTAATGGCAGCACGCTTGCACTGCTGCTACGACCTAGTTAATTGAGTTTGACTTTTGATTTAGGACTTAAACACAATAAATATAATTTCTTAGTAGCGTTTAATTCCTAATAAAGCATTTTGGTATTTAGATTGTTGAGACAAATAACTGCACTTAGCAGAAGGTGTCTGCGACAGCAAATCAATACTAAATATGGCTGAGTTGTGCACTTGCCATTTGGCTTCGTGTAGCCATCTCCTCTAAAATTATTAAGGCAGCTTTCAGCTAATGCGTTCCAGGGACAAACATCTACTGTGTAATATTTGCCTGCTTGTAAGCCATAAAAGTTACAGGCAAATGGTGTTTGTCGAGGGCCAACTTCACACGACTTTATTGGGGAAGTAGGCATTACAGTTACTTTGTACTTGGTAATATTCGTCGTGTCGTCAGGAGGTGTTACGGTCACCTTGATTGAAGATGTTGATGTTGGAGTTACAACTACCCCTTCCCGAGCTACAAGAGTAGTCACAAAGGTCACATTAGCATTTAATTTGTTTGTGTAATTGAATAATGCATTAAAGTCACAATATAAAGGACAAATATTTTCGAAGTAAAAAAAACTTGGAATGCAAAATAATAAACTAGTTCATTCAAATATTGCATAAACTATGCTACTAAAAAGTAAGACAAAAAGATTTAAACATTTTCATCACTTCCTAAAATAATCTACAAAATCTAACACAAATCACAGTAAAAACAATAATGTGAAACACCAATGGCGCAAAATTAATGTTAGCGATGTATCTGCAAACATGATGTATTTAAAAGTGAATTTACAGAATATAAGGTACTATTTGTTTCGAAAAAAGGTTAAAAAAACTTCCAGAATAATTTTCTGACATACATACATGTCACCAATAATTAATCATGTAAAATAAAAAAACAGAAGGGTAATAAAAAATTTTGACTAAAAGCAATCGTTACCATCAGCAACAGTAAGCAATATGGTCACCAACAAATATAAAGAAGAACCCGCGAGGCACTTCATCACTCCTCGATATCACAATTGGTTTCGCGCGAAGTACACTTGCTTGAAAAGACCTTATAGGAAACTACGTTAATTTAATAAAACATGCATAAAGAAAAAAGTAAACGTATGAAAGTTTTGATAAGTACACTTAAATGCATTTCACATTAAGTTGTTACTTTTTGCACTTACTAACAAAATGCACTTTCTGAATCGTATAATTCTTTAATATTTACATGTGTAGCTGATCCGAAGAATGCTATATAATGAATTATAAGTACAACGTGACAACCAAGACAATTAAAACCTTTTTAAAACCATTTTTGAACTGAAGGGTTTCTGTAAAAGAGGCAAAAAAGACGTTTGGAGTAGGCTTCAATAGTGACAAGCACACAACATAGCCAAAAACACAATCATATACATTTCTTTTTCCTTTCAAAAAGGTATCAATGAACAACAGATTCGATATTACAATAGCGACTTTTTCGACTCAACGCAGCTGATATCACAAAGTTTGACATTAAATTTCATTGTGAACTAATCAATATGGCAACTCGAGTTAGAGGTTTAAATATGAACCAATGATACATTATTTAAATCATAACCCATATTGGTAAATGCAATTCCATTTTACCAAATTAAGAATATTTTGCCGATCTGATATACCTGGAATTCGATTTATTGAATTGACTTCAGAATTCATTACTTTACTGATATAAAAATTACCTTTATTTAAAGACACTATTTACGCATCTTACGATACCAAGGTTGTTAGTTGATGGTGTCCAGTTTTGCGACCTACCTCTAGACTGTGATGACGCCTTAGTTTGTTAAAGTCACAACTAAAATCGGGGAATCTAAGAGATTGTAATAAGACACAAACTAACCTCAAGTTTTTCCATGAGACGCTGCATTTTTCAGCTAAAAACTTGGTTGCTTTTCATCCGTCCACACCTACTAATCGTAGGCAACTTGAATTACTGAAATATCATTCGGTTGCCACGAAACGCCTCGAGTTCTAACATTACAGTTAATGTCACTTTAGTTGATTCGTCCACCAATATCCGATTTGTTCTTTGTTTTGATCTATTTAACATACTTTTCCAAATTTGTGCTTGCATGTGGTTATTTATCAATTAAACTACTCTTTTTAAAAGTGTTTGTTTACGAAAATGCCTCGTAGTGCAGAGTGTACCATAACCCATTCGTTCCGTAAATAATTTCTAAACTTGTGTCTCATCTTTGTGAAGATAAGGCGCATGCAAAATATTTATGTGTGAATACAGAATATAAGGTGAATGATTTCTACTCTTATCACTGGTCTTTAGGAACCTTTTAGCATGTGCAGACATCGCCATTTAATATTCCGGGAAAATAATTAATTGATCATGTTCCTTCCTGGAGTAGCTTCTTTTTTTCTGGCTGTTGAGCAAATTAACTATCACATGTCACGTGTCACTGCAGAAAGCATTTTGAGCAGCACAGTGAAATGGCTGAGTAGAAAGAGTGACAGAATAAACCTGAAAGGTCTATTAGCCCAAGTCAAAACTGCCCCATGTCGATGGTTCCCCTGCCATTTTGTTCACAGGCCATTTCTGAAATTAGCACATTTTTTAGCCTACAAGCAGTATTGATCGTACATTCTTGAGCCTAAAAAGTACACAACCAACCTTGATCGTGCTGCTATAAACACTAATTGATTGCCTTAAGAACCATGTCGCTCAAGTCGCATAAGCCGGGACTATCAGTGAGATATCACGCTTGACGCCAAGTAAAAATATCCACATACTTAACCAACCTATTCCTTTTAATTAAGCTAAGTAGTCTGACATTATAACGAAGCTTTAATGATGTTAGTTTTTCTATAGAAATTTTAGGACCCCTTTATCACGGGGAGCGATGTTAATGTCTAAACTACTGATCGACAATTTGAAGTCAGCTGTTAATGCAAATATGGAATATTTATTATCACTATTTAGTCAGTAAATGTACAATTTTGCAATAGAGAAGTCAAAATAACAGTTCCGTTTTAGGGCAAGATATGTAATTCTGTAGTTGCTTCTTACTTCAAAAACGGAGATCAACTTTTGACTAAAACAACAAATATTAAGACACTGCGGTGTTTAAGTAACATTCCATACACTAGACAAAGTACAAAAATGCATTTCATTTCCAGGAATTTCAATGTACATATAACAGACAACAAAAAATGCGGAAAAAGTTTTTAAAACATTTTAAGCACTTTTGTTTAATTGCTTAACTACAAATTACTTTTTAGGTCATTTAAAGTATCGTTGATCACGCAAAGTTGGAATTAATCTGGAATAATGGGATCTGGGCGTGTGTTACACACTCTACTGTTTAATATGCTAATTCTAATACTGCAAAGCAATAGTGAGTTTAACTGGTTACATAAAGTAAATTCTGCAGCTGATTTTCTATAAGTTCTTTTTTATTTCGTGCAATTGAATGAATTATTTGTTTGTGGGAAATAATTCACAAGTGATTAGGACGTCCTGTGTAAAATATGGCTTTATAGTCCTGATGCACTCAAGTTTACTGCATGGCAATTTTCAATTAAAAAAAACGAGCAGAAATTGCGCACGATTTTTTTTCTTCCGTGATTCGATATTATTTACCAATTGAATTGCACTGGACTCTTTGGTTAATTTGTTACTCATTACCTTATTAAAGCAAGTTGTTCTACACAAATTCCTCCAATTTTTTCTTACCATGTCCAGGAGCAAATATTTTATCCCATGATCCCGTTTTTGATGTACTTCATGAACTCACCGGTGTTTAAGGGGAGTGTATGCGGGTGTTTTGTTGTACAGAAGGCAAATGTTTCTGCTTCTCTTCTGCTTCAATGGATTTTGTTTTTAAAGTTGCTTGCCCTCTCATTTAGCGAAGTGTCTCGTTGCCTAGTGTCACGAAGCCTGATTACACTTATTTAACTCCATCGATATTGAAATGAGATCTTTTATTTCTTTGAAGTCACTGATTAAAACATGCAAAGTTAAATATCCCTTGTCACGCGTACACACTTAACTGATGAATTGTTCCTGCTGTGGCATTGACTGACTAAGAGCTGGTGTTAGACTTCGATTAGATGCAATGCAGTACTCGCAGTGTCATTCTTATACTTGGAAGCAAAAAGTCGCCAATTTGCATGGCAATAGATGCAAACGATCATATCGTTGGAGATTCAAAACAATTTTATGTTTAAGCGCTTCCTGTGTAAAAAGTCACTTTGAAGATGTTACAAGTATGTCCACAAAGGCAACAAGTGAACACGTGTAAAATTTACACTTTATTCAATTGTAGAACTCGGTGCTAATACAAGCGACACCGTGACAACAGGTAACTTATTAAAGCTTTATTTGGTGATGAATGTACTAAATGTTTGTGTTCTGGTGGCTATTAGGACATCACTACACATCTCACTGCTTATCCACTGTAGATTAGCGCTGTATGCACACTCTAATGTTAGTTTAAATAGCCTTAGTAAATAGTTTAATACATTAAATGTACAATCAGTTGCAAACATCATCATTGCAAACATGCAGCAGATATTGTCAATCAAAATAAGTTTGGAGTTGAATCCAAAAGTACATCACTATTTACCTAGGACCACGATAACTTAAATATTTATCGTTGCCTATGCGCAGTGATGGTGATGATAATTATGGAATGCTCTAATAGTTAAGAACATCATAATAGCTTTGTAAGGAGTATGCGAAGGCAAATTAGCGCATTGGTTTGATTTGTATCGTTATTTGATCTCGAATATTTTAATCTCGATGTATAAAGTCGATGATAAGATTTTTACTTTTGTCTAGAAAGGCGGGTTTTACTGTCTGAACAGGGCACTATTTAAAAGCTGTTGCGTACACATTAGCTTATTTGGCGTCAAAGCGGTTAGAGAAGAAGAACGTGTAGCTTGATAAATGTGTAAACTGAAGTTACATTCGTCAAATATTTGTTGAAAGATGGTTGCTGCCACTAGTGCTGCATGTTAGTTCAGTAGCATTTGATGTCATAGCCTTGAGACTTTGGAGTCTACCTGCTCTGAGGATCACTAACTATGGCCAAGATGTGCAGAATTTGAAATGGTAGGTAACGGGTAATAAGAATTAACGGCATGTTATTTAGAGATGCGTATTGCCGAAAGGCAGCGAACAGGCGTAAATCTGTTGCCTTTGAGAAGTGCAACCATTGGTGTTATTAACACTTCCGTTATTTGCCGATTGCTTTTCAGCTCCGAAGGGCATGATTGTGACTCCGATTTCACCGTCCTCCATCAGGGTGAGAGTCGTGCCTCCTGACAACACGACAGGCATCCTCCGCTACGACGTTTTCGTGCCGAGCCTGGTTGACAGTGCGCTTTGTGCAGTCGATGCTGGCAGTGGTCCACTGGAGTGCGAAGTCGGTGGACTCGCGGCGGGCAGCGCGTACGGAGTGAGGGTTCGTTCCTTCTTGCAGAAAGATCCCTTCTACAGTGACGGCGTGGAGGGGACTGGATGGACGAAGCCGAATGGCAAGTTGTCACTTTCTAACCCCCGACAGCTCTTGCTTATTTTTCAGCAAATTTCCATCTTGTAATATTTTACATCTTCATAAATTTATCGAAGACTTACTTTGAATTTACCCTTGGGAAGTTTTCATGAAAAGCTGTTTAATAAATCGTTTTTTTTTCAGTATCTGTGATTTATAGTATTTTCGGTGTGTATTAATGCCGACTATGATGGGTTCAACAGAGCTTAAGAGAACTTGTAGAAAAAAATCTATTTTTGGACTAGAAGGAATAGCCTACGCTGTTAGCTGTTAAGTTCATAGTATGTAAGCTGTTTCCCGAGTAAAATTTCGAAAGTAATGTAACTGGAATGGTTATTAATGCTTTCAGTATTCTACTCTCCAAACTGACCAGGTCGTTTTTGTAATTAAATCGTAGTTTATTGTTTGGTGTTTGCAGCTCCCAAGGGCGTCCACGTGACCACAAGCTTAAACTTCTCAATCACGGCCGTCGTCATACCGTCAGAATTCCTCTCTCGTGTCGGTCACTACACGATTAACGTGAAGGGCTATCGGTGGCCTGTCTGCAGGAATTGTTTCATTGACTCGAAAAGATGACAGTTCGTTAAAATTGCATTTGGAGCACTAAGTACAGAAGGGTGACAAGTACCATTTGAATGCACTCTGTTGGATTGTGAGCTCCCTAATCGGCCACATGATTGGGAGTGTCTGTTCACACGATTTTTAAGGCATTGTTAATTTGCAATTTTGTGGACACAATCAGCAGATATTGCTCTGAAGCTCTAGTGGTTCTGTTTGTTGTTTCGTCAGCACCAGCTAGCGTGACGGTGACACCGACGTCTACCACATCATTGTTCGTTCGCTTCAAGACACCGACAGATGCTACAGGAATTAGTCGCTACGAGGTGACTGTTGACAGAGTGATCCCGAAGCAACTCTGCACAATACCGCTTGGGGATAAGCTCGAGTGTCAACTGAAAGGTCTTCAACCTGCAGCCCGGTACACAGTGACGGTCAGTGCTTGCGTCCGCAGGACAAATCCGACCGTGTGCAGTGAAGGTGTGAGGGTGTCAGGATGGACGAAACCTCTTCGTAAGTAATGGCTAAATTGTTGTTTTTGGCCATTTACCGTCATACCTCTTAACGACACGCCGAAACTGGACCTTGGGAATGCATAGTTAGCGGATTGTCCGGTGGAATTAATTACGCGGTGATGGCATGTTCCTGGATTCCGCCAGGTCAAGTATGCAGTGATTCAGTGGAATCACATAACTGGACGAAGCCAAACGACAAGTTTGCACTACCCCTAACTCACATCTATCCACGTGCAAAGTATACGTGCACGCGTTCTTTTCCATCATACTGCTTCCTGCCTCAGCAACCTCAGGATAAATCGTGTTGAGAAACACTATTGCTGGTTCATTGCTGGTGCCTGTACCTATTTTAGTACAATTTTCCTGTAGATATGTGCGCATATTTTTGATTAGTTAGACGTCATAGAGATCACTCTAATCGTATGGGAGTTATGCTGGTTCTGTTTCCCACTTCAACAGCACCACTTGACGTGGCGGTGGTGCCGAGTTCCAACACATCAGTTGTCGTTCGCTTCGAGGCACCCACAGATGCTAGAGGGATAGGCCGCTACGAGGTGGCAGTTTCCGGAGCGGAGCCAATCAAATCGTGCACAATACCACGTGGAGAAAAACTTGAGTGTCGAGTGGATGGCCTGCAGTCTGCTTCCAAGTTCGAAGGGGCAGTGAAGTCCTGCATCAACGACACCGATCCGGCTGTGTGCAGTGAGGATGTAGTGGCGTCAGGATGGACAAAACCTAATGGTGAGTTGACACAAATATTTTGAAGACGATTTTAGTTTAGTAACTGGGAAGATCTTTCGTGCGTTATTTCTCACACATGGACTTTGTTTTTGACCTTGTCTGGTTTGTTTCCGGTTCTGTTTAGACGGATCATAAATTAATTCTCCAGTAATGAGACCTTCGCAATATCCAGTTTATTGTAAATTGGTATTCTATTGCCGATACACCACTGTAAATTGCACTAGTAATTAATCACTAATTGTGTGTTTTCGTGAAATTGACCATTTCGGTTACATGACATATTAGATTCTTAACTGCGCTGGAACAAAGGTTGTCGTAATCAAAGGGAAATGCGTGCGTATAATTCGTGCCAATGTGTCCTAAAAATGAATATGGCTTATTCAACCACAACTGGTACCTTTCCAGTTGAATTGCAAATTTATCGCCAGAAAAGAGTGGTTGGGTTTTTCCCCTAACCACTTCAAGCTATGGCAGGATATATTCATCAGTTAGAAGACATTTTTAATGAAACCCATTGCACATCCATGAGGAGTAGTGGTTTTTCGCCAAATTATACTGCTAACTGCCACACAATCATCCAAGTTGTGCAAGAAACGCCATTTATTTGTGATTTAATGTGCACAACCGGCTTTCTATCAATTCCACTCACGAAATTTAAACTCAGCCTGCATTCAGCAGTGAAGTTTACATTCAACTGATGCATTTTAAACCGATATACTGCTTCCAGTCAACTTGTGACAAAGAGAAAGTACTCATAGTAGCCATGTCTGAATAACAAATTAGAGAAGTTTTACAATCTGAATCGCAATACAAAGAATTTGCAATTTACACAATGACACACCCGGCTCATTCGTCGCAGCTCCTAGACAAATGACCTTTGGAAGCGTCGACTCTGCCAGCGTCTACGTCAGTTGGCAGAAGCCGGACGGCAAAATGGATGGCATCACGCTATACAAGGCTTTGGCGAGGCAAAGCTCCAGAGCAGTGGAGCGGACTCAAGAGCACTCTTGCTTCGCTGACGCGTCGCTCGAGGAGTTGGGGTGTTCCATCAGTGGACTCAGTCCTAGCACCACCTACACCGTCTCCGTCAGTTCCTGTATCGCGACTACTCTCTGCGGAGACGAAGTTGGCTTAATGGAAATAACAACGCTATGTGAGTTCTGTGCACATTGTTTTCGATTATGAGGAGGAGATGGTGGAAGACGAATGATGGAAATTTGTACAGTATGGACATTTTGTAGCTGTCGACAATTATCAAACTACGTAGTTAACACAATTAATCCGAGTTTTTCCATGGCGAGTTAAGTGACAATGCTTCATGACGTGATAATGATTTAGCCAGACCAAAGTCTCTGCCTCAGTGTTTGTAATTCTGATGTCAAAAGCCGTTATGGGTGACTTAGTCTGTTGATGCTAAGCAGTTAAATACTAGTTACCACTTGCGTTACATACCTTTCTTTATATTAAGTACACATTTCCCTCAACGCACTCAATGGTCTCTTCTGAATGAGGTTGTGAAAATATGAAAGAGGCACTAGCTACTTGGTATGTTGGGGATGCAGAGCACGGATAGTGGGTACTTTTTATCAAAAAATTTCAGTTTTATCAGACCGCAATCATTAAAAAATGACCTTTTTTAATTTTAAAATTCAGCCCATCCTGCATCTTTAGGTGCTATTTACTTGAGCTTGCGGCCTAACCCTGAGCCGTAATGATGAGGTCATTGTGTGGCTTTGTGTTTTTTGACTGGCGGTATCTGGGAATTCGGCTGTACAAACGAAAACTTAGTCAAATTCGATTATTGTTTGAAGAGGAGAAAATGGAATGGTGTGAGGTTGCAGAAATAAGTGCATTTCACTTACTTTTCGCATGGATCACTACATATTTCCCAGACACTGCAGGTAACAGTCCAGTTGACTGCTTCGAGTCGCACGACCTGGAATCCGCAATCTCAGAATTTATCTCTTCGTGCAGAGGTTGCAGATTTAGTCAACGTTTTGTCGCAATTTCGTCACTGCTTTGTAAAAAAACACGTTTTTGCTTGTCTTCTTCACGATGATAGCAAATCCCTTGCCACATTCCTTTCCAGCATTACTTAATTGGTTAACATGCATATCTTGTGTTGCATGTGCACAAAAATAACGATTTATTTTGTACATACATGTTTTAGCACAACCAGTAAACATCGTGCCGATCATCGTCGGAGTTGTCGTTGCTCTTGCCGTTCTCGTCGTCGTTTTGGTTTTCGTTGTGTACAAAAGAAGACGTACAAACCGCAAGCCGACTCCTTTAGAATATTTGGAAGAGACTTCAAAAGACGAGTTAGTTTAATTCAGTCAGTGCAGCTATGACTAAAAGATTAAAACATCTAGTCAAGTAGCCTCATTCAAGAGGTACAGCATCTCTGGTGTAAACGGCAATGAAAGACAAAGTACCTTTGTTTAATTTTTCATGATGTCGTCTCGCTTTATAAAGAGACCTCCTTTGCAGCAATCTTCGGTTGCCATATGCTATTGATTGAGTTTAGTACTAATTTAAAATCGACAAGTCATTCGTGTCTTATGAAGGGATCTTTGATCTTCACCAACAACGCACTCACGCACGCAGACGTGCAAAAAGCCGAGAAATTGGTCGATCGATTTGTCGGTCGGCGGCGGTAGCAGGTGTGCTTGGGCAAAAATGCGCTGCAGAAGGTGCCTTAGTGGTGTTATTCCCTCTGCCACCTCAAACACTATAAGACACATTGAATAAATAAAATTGTATTCTTTATTATCTAATCCTGTGGTAGGTGGGAAGGGGTCTTGAGTGACTGGCATTGGGCCGTGAAAATAAAATTCTGCACCACCATGAGAAGCTGGGGGTACTGGTATATCAAGTTTATTCAATGGTTTGTCTACGCAAAGCCCTCGTAGTCCAAAGTGTGCCTACTTGTCGGCATATTATTAGCTTAAATTGTTCGTTCCGCACGAACAAAGTGACTTTGCTCGATATTTCTATCTCTGCTATAAACTTAAGCAATGACACCAAATAGAGCATTTAACCAACGCAAACACACTTCAAAAGCATTTGCAGCAAATTCAATACGTGTCTTATTTTGTGGTGTAATATTTGGACCTCCTGCATATTTCCACAGCCTCAGGAGGTGTGTGCTTGTTTCTAGATTGAACGTGGAACTTCCCGCTGACGTCTACAACAGCAGCAACAACAACAGCAACTGAAGCCTGCTCAACAAGTGATAATCGTACACAATTGTGATATTTTGCCGTTTTTAAAATGCGTATTTTTTGCTTCATTGCTGAAACACAGCATAGACTTTGTAGTACAATTGATGCACTTTTTTCTCGAGGGTAAACAGTTGCATTCAAAAAAAGTGGTCAAGCATTTTGTCATCAAAATTTGTGGAATCGGTGTCGTCAATGTTATTTCTAGCAAATTCGATTGTTGAATAGGCAGAAGCACTGATTCCGATATTTCGTATTTGTAAGGAAATAATTTATTCCTTTACATCGGAATAATCTCAGTTGACATTTATGGAAGCGTTCTACCTGTACCCTGAAGCCAGAAAGATTTAATTAAATCTAGTTGAGCAAATAACGGCTAAACCAATTTTTTTGTATTTGTGACGCTAAGGTGCATCCGAAATACTTATGTTTGTGTGTGTGCATTCAACAGTAGAACAAAAGGTAAATGATTTCAGCTCTTATCACTGGCTTGAGTGGTGCTAGTCCCTCACTGCCACCGCTGCCACCTCTCTCACCGCAAACACTAAAGGACACATTGAATAAGTAGAATCGTGTTTTTTTATGGGTAGAGTCAAGTGGAAGAAAATGCTGAGGGGGAGCCTTACGAAACTAGCATTAGCCCATGGAAATAAAATTGTGCACCCCCTTGAGAAGCTAGTGGTGGTGGTCTTGAAGTTCGCAGTTGGTGGTGGTGGTAGATTAATGGCGAAATTGCCTACTGCAGTAAAAAGAAGACCTACTATACGAGAGTTGCGCATTCATGTGAATGAAAAGTTAGCTGGCGTAATTGCTGCTTAGGCTGGTGATACAGCCTAGGACAATTTCCGGCGCTAAGTCGCTAAGAGAGAGAGGGAGGGAGCGTAGGAGAGGAGGCTATGACAGGAGAATGTGCAGGCACTGGCGACCAACGTGGCAGGTGAGATCGACTTGAATTGGGCTCTAAGTTGGTAAAGAGTGCTCCTAAAGTACACTTACATTCAAGAGGTACAGCAAGAAAGGCGTAGTAGCTTTATTTAATTCCTCGAGATGTCGTTTCGCTTTTGAAAAAAAGAAGACTTTCGTTAAATAATCTTTGGCTGTCACATGGTCTTGATTGAGTTTAGCACTTAGGTTAAAAATCGACAAGTCATGCGTGTCTAATAGAGGCGCCCGATAATGCAGAATGCAGTGATATATTAAACAACCAAATGACTGGTAGATAGTCGCACTTTAAATTTGCGTGCTTCATTTAGCCCATGCTGGATCGTCAGTTTTAATTATTGTAAATGTGACGACTTGATTATCAGTTAACCGTTCTGAATGTTCACTAGCAAATAAGACTGCCTGTAAATATTTCCTAAACTCTTCTGTGAATGCATTTGCAGAAGCCTTAAAGTGTGGTTTGTTTAAATTTAGACTGGGTTTACAAAAGCGATGGGGAATTAAATAGTTTCGTTAAGGTGTTATGCTTCTCTTTCATTACTCGATTTTGCTCAACCAAAATCGCTCAGAGGCTGGGAGAAAATTCTCAGATTTGTCGAAAATGCACATTAATACAGCAGTCCTCCCTGGTTCAGATTTGACGATTAACATGACATTTGTGCCGCAGATTGAAATCTAACTGATTCTTCAGACCTGTTCATTGGACCTTCAGAACATCAAATTCACCTTACAGATCTGAAAACCCTTTCATATTAATTAGGGCCATCGCAAGGATTTTTGTGGCCTAAGCTAGTTAGTAATTGTTAGTGCATATATGTCTCCTAATTAGAAAACACGAAAACTATTTCAAGGGATAAGTCCTTACACATGAATTTAAAATCCATAATGTGTGAACAATTGAGAGCCAAAACAAGCTTTTCTGCACATTCACACCCTATTGACACACCTTTGCAATCACGCGCTATGATAACAAGCCACTTTGCAACAGTACATCATCTGCTAGCCAATTACCTCCTCTGAGCACTAGATTGAACAGCGCCAAGAAGCCGAATCTTGAATCTAATCGGTGCAACATGTGCACTTATTGTTGTTGATTTAAACCTGACACATTACTTTTATTCGTGCTGCTCATTGTGAGTTGGACTGTCCGCTTAATTTCTGCACATTACAATCACCCTGATTGGTCAAAAACGCGGATATTCAGAGATTCAACGAAGGCAACATTGCGTTACGCACCCAAGCTTAAAATTTGTCTGGCTTCCGAGTTGATTTCCTTTCTGACAGCTTTGCTCAAAGCATGCAACCCAACTACCAGCTCTCAGTTGCTAAATATTACCTCGATGATTTGATACTAGTGTTTGTACAGTATCCGAATATAACAAAGTTTGTGTCAAATGCGCATTTTCTAAACGTGGAGATATGCCCATCTTGATTGAGCATTTTGCGATATCACATTATTAATGACTCAATTACATACGAAGACCAAATCAAAAGTGAACCATTAGGTTTCACGACACGAACATTTTTTTCAAAATCTCACTCATTGTGCACAATATCGAAACCAATCATTTCGAATTTAATTAAATACCTCGATTCTTTGAAATGTTGGCATTTCGTTGAGTTACAAGACATTAGTGTGCGTACTTTTTCTCGATGTGGGAATTTGCGAGGCTCTCCACCAAGTATCATTCTAGGCTGAATCTGTAAAGTATTATTTCAACACATGGAAATGCCTTAAGTCGACCGCTTCATGGATAGGCTTGATTGCTACTTTGAAACGTATTTTAAAAACCAACATCCTAGATTTGAATTCGGTGACAATTGCCACGAGATCGCCCTACTGGACGGGTGCGTCAAAGCCAATAACACAGGCTGGGGATTTTAAAGTTAACATTTACCACCGGATTTAAGATGATGTGTCGTGAAAGTTACAGTCATTTTATTGCTGGAAATAGGATTATTCTCTTTGCTTATATGCACCGCATAATTAGCGTAAAGCCACAATCATATTTTTACATGGCTTTGTGTTTAACTCAAGAAAAGCACATCCCTAAATTCACTTCTGCGTTGGCATATATCAGAGCATTCCGCATACCTCAAGATGTTACACGATGGGTTTTGGCTTCAAAAGTGCCAACGTAGATGATTTAAACCACTTTAGGCGTTCTTCTTCTGTAAACTTACATGTGACAGTGTAGTATTACATGCTGTCTCAGTTATGGCTAAGTGGATCAGTTACGACTCCGTTTTATCTGTTTGGTCTAGACTAAATCCCATGAATGTGACTAGTGTTTAAGCGGTTGCAGCGGTGACCGATAATTCCAATGGCTGCAACTAGCTATTTGAGGTAACTTTATGCCGAGGTTTTTGTTGGGGGAGTTAAGGCGAAACGCACAACTCAAGCGCAAATTTGCCTTCGTAGAACCCGCGAAGGTTCACGCATAATCGGGCCACTTCAAACAAGATTAAGGATTCTCAGTGTTATTTGATTTGGGTTGTACCGCACTCGCATACGTATACCTACGCAATCACTTCAAGCGACAGCCAGAAATCGCACTTTATGTGCCCATCTCACGACATACAATCCAGATTTGCAAATTTGTCTCAGATGTATGAGTCCATTTTGCGTCATTTGGGAAAATGGAGCTTAAGAAATTTGTGCCAATCGCTTAGTTGGGTTTCGTCTAGCTCAAAACTCACGTTTTTCTCCATTCAAAACAGTCGCTGAGGGCCGTTTCAAGTGAACAGGAACACACATTTAACCTCACCAAAAATGCGGCACTTAGTCAACGCCACCGCAACCGATACGTCAATATGCTACCTTGTAGTTTTTGCCTAGTTTTGAGTTTCAATATATGTTGTCAGAAATTTATAGAGCATTTGAATTAGAGTTGAGGTATTGGCTACCAGGGTACCTTTTAGAAGTCACCCACTTTTTAGGCTAATTTTAATCTAGTTGACATTTCCGGTCTTGATTGTATTGGCATTATCAAAAATTGCACCTAACTGCCTCTCTTTCATTATACAGTTTTAGACATATCTCAGTCAAGGATACAAAGTAACATGTGATGGTTATGTCATGAGAGGTAATGCTGTGAAGTTTCATACAGCTTTCAACGACTTGTGTGCCTTTGAGACGGTTGAAACTTGCATCGACTCAAGAGGTGTCAGACGAGTCAGAGCAAATTTGGTTTACTTCTGGAAATTTTCGTGGTGTTTAGGAGGTATCCGATGTAGAACGCAGGTTCAGCCTGGAGCTGTTCCAGAAATATTGTGTTTCAATTTCTGCAAGGCATTAATCGGTTTTCAATACTAAGTCCTGTTTCCAAATAAGCGTCTTAATCAAACGCCATCAAAAGCAGTCTTGCAGTGCTTAATCGGAATCCTTTGTTTGCAAATAATGGTGCATTTTAAATGTTCAGTTGATGGTGATTTTGCAAAGAAAATAACAAATACCACTTAATAACTATAGAACGAAAATTGACATTTGATTATGTGCGTTTAGATGAGTCCACATTCTGTTAAATCAGCCCACAGCATAATTTTTATTTTCGGATTAATGCAGGGTGGTCTCCTCTCGTCCTCCTACATCAATGCCTCCTACGCGAGACCACCCAACTACACGGCAACAGGCGCTGCCGTGGCGTCGAGTCAGGACACCCAACCGGAGTACATTGCAGCCCAGGGTCCACTGCCTCACACCGTCGCGGACTTCCTCACGATGATCTACGAACAGAAGTGTCCCCACGTCGTCATGCTCTGCAAGTAGGCTTGCTCCACAGCACCGATTTTGTCAGCATTTGTGTCATCAGAAACACTCACATGGACTGTGTTTGCACTTGCTAGCACCGAGGAGAACAACAGCCCGAAATGTGCCAGGTATTGGCCTGCCCAGGCCACAGAAACATTCGTCTCCGATGGTCGAAGTGTTGTCGTGACCAAAGTGGCAGAGCAGATAACACCAAACTTTACGTACCGTGAATTCACCATTCTGCCATCAAACGAGAGGGAGGTGAGTCTGCCGCAACGGCATCATCGGTGAGGAAGGCGACTTTTGAAGGCACTAAAGACCTTGTTGGGTTAGAAGGAAAATGAACACAACTTATGAATGAGATGGAAGACTTTAATAAACCGTTATGAAGACATAAAGGCACCTTTGACCAGTTGGCAAATTTGATGCTTAATTTGTGAAAATGAACAAGCCTATGTTTTGAATTGATCAATCCAGTATCAATCATATTTCCTTGAAAACCTTGCTTATTCTGTGCAGCCGTGGACGGTCAAGCAGATTCACTTCACACTCTGGAAC